TGACCAGAAGCATCTCGAAAGAAAGGCCTGGTGATCTACTTCTGAAAAATCAACTATTGAAAACCCTGTGGAGCACAGTTCTACTCTGACACACACGGAGTCACCATGAGCTGAAGCTGACTTAATAGCCTGGTTTTTTTTTAGTGTTGCATTAATTTAAAAAGAAAAAGGCGGGGGGGTAGATTTGAGTATGCTTTGCAGTCAAGGTGTCAATGGATATGGAAATATAACAAATAACAAAATAAGCTGGTATAAATAACTTCAAGTAAGTGAGAGGGGGCAATGTTTGGTGAACAGAAGTTAGCTTCAGAAAGACCCTCTATGTCTGGTGTACAGGGATGGGGAAAGGATTGTAAGGTAGAGGAGAAAGTAAGAATAAAGATGGGGATAAAGTAAAGGGGATAAAGATGACATGGGGATGAAGATTAGACTGGACCATGGGACAGAAAATAATACTCGTGAAGAGTGTGCTTCTTAGCTCAAGTAGATACATGAGATTAAATGAGCAGCTCTCACCCGGAGGCAAGATGAGAAGGCAGAGAGGGTCAGGAGCTGGTTGAATGGACATGGGAAATCCGGGGTGGAAAGGAAGAGTGTGCTGTCACAATATAGGGAGAGAAAGTAGGGCCACAAAACAATGTATGTATAAATTTCTGTATGAGAGACTAACTTGAATTGTAAACTTTCACTTAAAGCACAACACAAAGAAAGTTTAAAAGGAAGGAAATATTAAGCAAACACACAAAAATCACTTTGCACTTAAAAAAAAAAAAATTACATGGGGGATCTCAAATAGGGAAGAGAGCCAGCCAACTCCATGGTACAGTAAAACAAGATTACCAGGTAGCTGAAGCTGGAAACCACTTGAGTATCATGATGCCAATCAGCCTGGTACCAGAATTTTTCTCCAGCAAAGCTCCCGTCAGCTGAGGAACCAGAGTGAAAAGTGGATAGTCAGCTTTACCTAGAACTGGGAATTACACACAAGGAAATTACAAGGGAATAAAAACCAAACCAAACCCTCTGCCATTAAGTCTCTTCCAATTCATAGGGACCCTATAGGACAGAGTAGAACTGCCCCGTAGGGTTCCTAAGGTTGTAATGTTTTACAGAAGCTGACTGCCACATCTTTCTCCTGTGGAGTGGCTGGTGGGTTCAAACTGCCAAACTTTTGGTTAGCAGCCAAGGGTTTAAACACTGCACCAGCACGGCTCCTCTACAAGGGAAGAGATGTCAGTTTAGATAAGGGGAAGGATAGTTGTGGCGTAATGAGTTACTTTATATGGCCCTTCTAACCATGGTCTTTGTGACTCACACACAAAGATTGAGCGGGACTGCGTAAATAAGGTATATAGACCCTGTGATGGTTGGGGTTATGTGTCAGTTTGGCTAGGCCATGATTCCCAATATTGTATGGTTTTCCTCCATTTTATGTATTGTGGATTCTGACCTCTACATGTTGATGAGGCAGGACTGGTGTGGTGTGTCTTGGGTTGCAGCCTTGCAGGAGGGCGTGACTCAAGTCCCACCCTTACTCAAGTTACACTCTTCGCTGGGGTGTAGCCTGCATCTAAGTATATGTGTGCATGACCAGGCGGAGCTTTCTCCCTCTGCATCTGGATCCCAAGATGGGTTCACGGGTTCTTGATCAATTGACCTCTGACCTGTCAATTCTGGGATTCACTGGCCTCCACTCCAAGGGGCCGGCGAACTATTTTGTGACCTGATTTGCCAGCTTCTGCAGCCTTGTGAGCCAGCAGCCTGTGGTCTGAACTGCCAGTTTGGGTTTGTCAGCCCCTGCAGCCATGTGAGTTGGGAGAAGCCTACAGTCTGATCCACAGATTTGGGACTTGCCAGCCTCCACAACTGGATGAGCCATTTCCTTTATACAGTTCGTGAGTTCTGTGACATGTTGCAGTGAATTACAGAACCCAAAGACGGGAGGGAGAGTACGGAGGGTTGAAGAAGTAGTTGATGTTAGAGATGATGGAGTGGTAAAGCAGTTTGGAAAAGTTGGACATTTGGGACATGTTTAATCTCTGCCTTACAGGAACCAGCTTTGTGCTGATCCTTACATTCAATACTTTTCTTAATTTTGGCCTGATGACAGGGTCCAGTAAGGGCACATGAAAAATGGCTGACTGAAGAGATGAAGGTTCTTTGTTCTAGAACTTAAGTCAAGGAACTACAAAGCAAGGGTAATTAAATGCATGTTTGTTATTCATTCTACTTCGCAAAAAGGTCTGATAGCTTACAAGCACATTTTACTCTCCCATACAATCATAACATACATTAAGAATTGATTTTAACTTCAAATTTGAGTGGGGCCTCTGGAAGCAAAGGTATTGTACGTTTGTGTGCACATACATTAGAAAAAATTTAGCAGCATCTCAAGGCAGGAAGTTTTTTCTAGCACTATTCTCAAAAAAAGGACGAGTGAAGAAACAGTAATGCACTTCCAAGCATGCTACAATTAAAAACAGTGAATCTGCCTACCCTGAATTACACTAGAATTTCCCATAAGACCAAATGTAGTATTAAAAACCACCACCTGCCTGTCAGTTTATTGTACTGTGTGCTGGTTTGTGTTGCTGATGCTGGAAGCTATGCCACCGGTATTTCAAATTCCAGCCGGATCACCCAAAATTCCAGCCGGATCACCCATGGACAGGTTTCAGCAGAGCTTCCAGACTAACTAGGAAGGCCTAGAGATCTGCTTTTGAAAATTAGCAATGAAATCCAATGAATCACAACAAAATATTGCCCAATTCTCTTGCTTTGGAGATGTCATCAAGGGATCCATAACTGGAGAGTATCATGTTTGGTGAGGCGTAAGGCCAGCGAGGGAGATGCTCAAGACGGACTGGCACGATTGCAGTGATGGACTCAAAATGCTGGTGATCCTGAGAATGTTACTGGACCAGAGGTACCCAAGGATGCCACGAGTCAGAGCCAACTCCAGGGCAACTGTTTTAAAAAGCAAATACATATGTGTACTTCATTTTTCCTGCTACTGCAAGCCCCAGAACTAGAATTGTCCCAGGCATAGAACAGGCACTATCAGATGGTAACATATTAAGGAAGCTACAATCTAAGGCAGTTTTTCTTAGAAAAGCCAAATAGTATGTCAGCTAATCCCTGATTACACCATCTGAAGGGCTCATTCAAGTGCTTTGCATATACCAGATCAGCTTCACCACAATAGCAACTGCTTACCTAAACCCATGCACAACAGGATGAAACGCTGCATGCATCCTGTACCACTTGTGCATGGGACCTTTGTGATCCATCCTCATTGCCGTCAATTCCAACTCATAGCGAGCTTACAGGACAGAGTACAGCTGCCCCATAGTTTCCAAGGAGCACCTGGTGGATTTGAACTGCCTACCTTTTGGTTAGCAGCTGAACTCTTATCCAGTAGGCCACCAAATTAGATGATCCGGCCTTTCTTCTGAAATATTAAGCCTGGAAGCCACACGTGCCTCCACTGGGTGAGATGCACTAGGGAAGTTCCACCATCACCAAACCAATGCCCAACATTCAAGGCTACTGCTTATTTAAAAGCACTAACGAGATAACCAGCTCAGAAGACCTATCATCCCATAGATTTTAGAGAAATTTCAATCTGTAAATTACCAGGATTTACAGATAACTGCAGATACTAGAGTGCTAGTGAATAGTATGCAAAACCAGACTTGGCTCAAACCTATGATCTCAAGACACGAACACCCCACATCTTAATATTGACAAACTAAGCTACCTCAGCTTTAAGTTTTCTATTTAGTCTAGTTTTAGCTCAACACCTCCCAATCAGCTCCATCTAAGCCAGTAACACAAGACCCATCATTTAACTGGGCCAAGGGCCCTCAGGACTAGGGTGTATTGCTAGACACAGCTGCAGAGCCATCTCTTGCTTCTGTACAAAACTTTTCGGTCAGTGAAAATTATGGGAACTACTATGGCCTCTTAACGGATGGTCATAACCACTCCTTGGTATTAGGATAGTCACATACACCATTTTCCTACTGTATGTGTAAAACTTAACTCTCAAATTTAGCTAGCCTCAGCCCACTTCTCCAGCTTCAAGGCTTATCTAAATCATGATCCTTAATGGTCATACCAAAATAACTACAGCTGCTACCCAATTCCTTATTGTAGGTCAACGCTTATACGGGTCTTTACTAGTCATTTACTGAGGTTAAGTGTGAGCTTTCAGCTATGAAGCAGTACAGTAATCAGGTAATGCTAAGAGCACTTCCTAAAACCAAACTGATGACAACCTTTGTTCATTTCACTAACAAAGATATTTATTTTACTGCCCCAAATAAAACACAAAAAGCACCAAGAGCCAAATTTTTTATTTGCTCATTTCTTGCATTTGAAATATTCTTCGATGACATCCTTGGCCTGCGATTCTTTGCCATAGTCCTTAAAAAAAAAAAAAAAAAATTCTTAGAACACCTCCAAGTTCTTAGCACTACTTTCAGCAATCTTAGGAACGTAAGCTACATCTCCTATTATCAAAATTAGCTGTAGCCATTTTCAGGGACCTTAATGACCTGAATATCATTAAGGCTCGTAGCATGGCTTTACTATTGCCAGCTTTTCCTAAATTTCTGCAGAAACACATTCAGGTAAGCAGAGTCAATGGCTGGCTTCTAAGATATGATTTATTTTCCTTTTCTAAAATGCAGTTATTCGGTCTGTTCAGAAGTCCAGTTTTTTCCTTTTAGGTGCCCAGCTTATTTAACAATTTAGATGGAATACAGGGTTTTGCATGGTAATTCAACACATCTTTAATTCCTCCCAGGCATGTTCCAACTTACCTTAACCACCACACAACTGCAACCAACTACTTTACGGGGCTTTCCCTCTCTGTCAATTTTGCAGAGGCCTACCCACTCCCCAAGTTTCTTGTTGTCATCAACCTATTGGGGGAAATAAACATCAGCATATTAATAAAGAATAATGCTACAGACTATAAATAACCACCTAACGTGGCTGTAGTCAGAATTGGTGGGTGACATGGCAATTTCCTCACCAGATTCAGTAGAGGGAGCCAGTTGTCATCATGTACAGCACACCAAGATTACCTATAAGCACTATACCCCATTTTAGCTCTTAGGAACACCAATTAGCGTCTAGTTCTGCAGGCACAAAACTTTTACAACTAGTTTCAGCATAACACCAGGATTGTTTTCTCACACCTGCATAAATAAGCTTGAGATTTCAAAACACTGATAGCATTAATCCTTCCATAATTAAGCCCTTAACTGGTGAAATTCATTAACCTATCTATCTAAATAATTCTAAAAAGCTGTTTAAAAACCCTTAAGTTAGATGAGTAACTCACCTTAATCAGGTTGATTTGGTGTTCAGCACAAAGGGCCTCTACTAACTTGACATACATAGGCTCATCACAGTTGGATGCAAGCACACAAAGATGGGCTTGGCGCCTGAAATGCAAAATGTTCCTTATAAAAATCAGGTCTAAATCCACTGTTTTTGAGCTCTTACAAGGTTATCTTTGCACTGGCTACACTGGCAAAACACAAGCAGCACACCTGTTAACAGGCCACATCAAAAACGTGTAGAAAACTGCATCGTGACTTAATCTGTTACAAAGTATGCATTTAATTCTCCAAGAAAAACATTAACTAATCTTCAATTTTCCACTATTCTCTCAAATATCCTGTATCTGTATGGAATTTATGGCCCAAAGAACATGCTACCTTTCTATAGATCAATTTCTTACATACACGAAACCATTGTTATGTGAAGTGTAAACTACCACATAATAAAGAGTTGTTACCTGTTACTGGCTCAGACATCGAATTAACATTGTGCAGCATTGTCAAGGTACAAATGGTGCAAGGACCTGCTGATGTACATCCAACAAGGCGAGTGCTGTTTCCACTGGATTCAACAGGCCAGTCTACACCAAACTGAATTGAAATGACTTAAATGTATCCGGTTTGGAAATCTTTAAAATACGTTTAAATTCAACTCTAGTAATTAAACGCATGCAGTTGTTTCGCCAATGTAACCAGGCCGGGGAACTAGACTATACCGATTATGTTTACAAATGTCCCAAATTCTAACGGATTTGTTTCTATAGTAAACCAATACAGATACTTGAAATCCCAGTTAGGCTTACAGTTTTGTAAACTACTTTGGGATCCATCTGTCCTCCAGATTAAATCTAAATTACTGACTAGCTCCCAAAACTACAGGTTTGTCAGACTGTATGTTTCACTCATAAAGCGAGTGAAGGGGTATCCGACAACACAAGTCATCATTCGAACACTGTAGTTTTACTTTTAAGAATCGAGTACTCGCTCCCATTCCAAACGGAAACCCACTTTACTGCAGTGAGTTAGATCTGAATTCTTATACCTTTTCCTAGGTTTCCTGTAGAACGGATGCTGTTCAGGACATTTGTGCTTAACCCATGAACTTCATGGTTTCTTCCCTTGGCTGAAGTTTTGCTCCGGTTGCAACAACCCAGTTACTGAAACTGATAAACGTACTTGTCTAAGGCTTTGGCAGCTTCGCGGATTCCACGTGCTAGGCCATCGTGGATGAGGGCGGTCTTCAGCACCTCTTGTAACGCGGTATTAACGTCCATTACACCTCCAGCAGCAATGCTGAAACCGAGTGACAATGATTAGTAATTTTCACCAAGAAAATGCCCCTACTATTTAATGCCTTAGACACAGCAAACCAATCGCAAAGATAGACCAAGGTGCGCTCGGGGCGCTCTGCGGCCCCAGTGGCCCGCCCCACCTCGCCGGCTTGCGGCCCATGCCTTTCCTGCACCCGGACTCACCCTTCCTCGGCCATGGCGGTGGATTACGGGTGGAGCCGAATCTTGAACGCACTGAAAAACAAATACGACCATGAATTACTAAACAATCCTATTCCGACGCAGATACAAATCACCGCTCTCAGCATGGAGTCCCCACCACCCTTGCCGCGCCTCACTCACCCCGGGCCTCCGCCTCCGCACAACTCGGCGGCGACAGGGAAAGAGATCTTACATGCGCTCATGACGGTATTTAAGGCTCTTCAGGACCCCTGCGCGCATGTGCACTCCCTCCTAAGAAAGGGGTGGCTCTCGCGGTGCCGGGCTGCTGGGGTTTCTGTTTCCGGATTGAGGCGGTTCGGAAGCAAGGGTACTGCGATTCTTTCGTCTTTGCGCGGCCAGTCATTGGTGCGCGCAACAGGCGCCACGCGGACAGCCTCGTATTGCCCTCCCCACGCCAGGCGCGGGGCCCACGCAGGTCCAGAGAGCCGTTCTACGGTGCGCGAGACGGGTAACGACTGTGTTCACATGGTCTTGTAAGACTCCTGGGGGCGCCCGTGTTTTAGTACTTACTACGGCATGTAATTTCCAGTCGACCCGCTGTTCTGGAGCGGCAGTATCTTTGTAAATGTCCCTAAACCACTGAGTATCCGTGAATATGTCATTCTGTGCGCAGTCCTAATCTGGGTTTGTTTTTTCATGAGGTGGAAGCTGTCTCAATTTAAGTACTCAGCACATCGCAAACTCTGCTTTCCCAGCAAGGATCCTCCAGCCAGGCGGATGGTTCCGGTTTTTAACTATAGCGTTCTGTGCCGTGGAGTAGGTTCCGCCTCATAGGGCCGTTATATGACAGAGTAGAAGTGCCCCATAGGGTTTTCTAGGTTGTGCAGGTTCGCTAAGAGTCGGGATCTACTCCTGGCAAGGGGTTTGTATGGTAATCTTTAAGGAAGCAGATCGCCAGGTCTTTTTCCCGCAGAGCGGCTGGGAGGGTTCGAACTGCCGACCTTTTGGTTGGCCACCAAACACTTAACCGTTGCGCCACCAGGGCCCCAAGTATAGTTGGTTATAAATGGAGGGTTTTTCCACTAGTTAATTGTGCCCTGAATTCGTGATCTCGCGCAAATCAGAATTCATTGAGTGCATTTTAAACACCTACAATGTGCCAGACACAGAAATAGGGTCTGGAAATACAGGGATAAAAACGTAGTCTGAGAAATCTGGCATTAATTAGCCACCCAAGCTTGGAGGATTTAGAAATGGAGTCTTAGAATCCCAAAACTCACATTTTACGGAAGCAGCATTTTCACTTTTGCAGTAATTTCAAAGCAAACTTATGAAACATAGCCGAATATAATCAGTACAGTCTCTTTTTACTTTGTTTTTTTTTTTTTTTTTGAACTTCCTCTGCTGACAAGCTCCCAAGCCGGTCAGCGTTATTAAGCACTTGATATTAGCCAACCCTATGGGGCAGTTCTCCTCTGTCCTGCAGGGTCCCTATGAGTCGGAATCGACTTCTTTGTTTGTTTGTTTTTTGTCTTTGATACCAGCCAGCGCTGTGGATTCAGCAGTGAATAAAATGTCAGTGTCAGGAGTGCTGTGAAGAAAACAGGAATGGGTAAAGTGGTAAAAATGCCAGTTAGTTGACCAGAACAGAGACATGCTGGAATTTTAATAACTCATATAGTTCGTGTTTAGCTTTCCAGAGAGAACATTTTATTTGAAAAGTGTTGAACCTGTTTCTTTCCATCCATAACTCATTCCCAAATGTTGTTCACTTAATTAGACAAATGTTTGTTGAGCTTTTGCTTTAAAAAAAAAAAAAGCCGGGGGGTTTATAAAGATGAGAAAACATATCCCTGCTACTGTGGATACTTGTGGAGAGATTAAAATTTAAACCAAAGGTTAGAATGTCTGAAGACCACAGAGGAGGTACTACGTGGCCCGTACGGTTAGGAACTGGGGACGATGAGGAAAGGTATGAGAACTTCAGGCAGGCGGCAACGTTTGCAATGGGCTCAAGAAAAGCGAAAGTATTCCAAACAGGTGAGGCTGGGAGCAGAAGAGAGGGTATTCTAAATAGAGGAAAGAGTAAGGCACAGGCACTAATGCCTGCTTCGGTATTTTGGAAGTTGCCTTAACATATTTGTACTTCTGAGAGTGTGGTAAATAGTATTTCAGCATATTTCTCATCATCTAAAATTAATTAAAATTAATATGCTAAGTATACTAGATTTTTTCCGTAAAAAATCTTGGAGGGGTCGGGAGTAGGGAGGATAAGGAACTTAGTAAAGACAATGAAGAAAATAATACTAGTTGTCAAACAAGGTGTTTATGGGGGAGAGGATGATTAAGTGCCGTTTGGCCTATGCCACTGTTCCCAGGTAGTAATCACCAAAGCAAACTTGGTTTCTGTCTTCTAACAACTCATAATCTATTCTGTTAACTTAATAAATGCTTTTTTTATCAGTAGCAAATCCTCCTTAGAACTGGAGCTACATTTAAAAAAAGAAAAAAAAGATATCCAAGTTATGTTACTGGTTCTAATCCCAAAAATGAAGTTAAAGAGTAGACTGGTGCTTCAAGGATTCTTTAATATAGATTCTCTTAGTTTACTTTAAATGTTACCAAACCAAACCCATTTGGACAGAGTAGAACTGCCCCATAGGGTTTCCAAGGCCGTAATCTTTATGGAAGCCGTCTGGCCCATCTTTCTCTCACGGAGCGGCTGGTAGGTTCGGACTGCCAACCTTTCAGTTAGCAGCTGAGACCTTACCCATTGTGCCACCAGGTTCTTACTTTTAAGGTTACCTACTCTTCAATCTTAGGTATCGGCAAAGATGGAAAATACTAAGTAGACGGTAGTAGTTAGAGGTACTCTTATACCAGCGAATTATAATTTTTACATAGTGTACACAAATATGAGTCAAATACATAAGAAAATAAATGAATTTTAAAGTTTATTTTAGGAACAATAGTGATAATAGGTAATTTTGTTTGTCATTTTCTGTGTGCCAGATAATATGCTAAATTCTTAACATGTATTTTTCCCTTGTTCGTCATACTCTTACGTGGTATTGCTGTTATTTCTCACTATCTTTAACAGATTAGGAAACCGAGGCCCACAGGGATATCACAGCTAGTGAATGTGGAAGCTGGTATTTGAGCCCAGTCTGACTTCAAAGTCCATGCTCTTAACGCTTAAGCCATTTGAATGATTGCCCAAATGTGAGAGAGAGAAAACTGAGAATTCAATGATGGCTATTCACCGCTTATGC